CGCCTGACCCCATCAGTGCCGACCCAACTCCACCACCACACGCACGCCTCGCGGCGGATGCGCAGCAGCAGCAAGAAGGTTTCGGTCATCCCTTGAGGGTGAGTCTAGCCCTGCTCGCCAGAAAGACCCCTCCCTTCACTACAACCCATGTCTAAGCAAAAGCTTGTCGAGGAGCGAGGGGAAGAAGTGAATCGAGCAAAAACAGGTGTAGTAGTCTAGTCTATGCGTAAATGAGACGTGGACGGGCATCGTCTACTATTCGCGCTTTGGCCTGTTTTTGGTGTGTAGTTTTCTCTGGTGTGTATTTCGTTTGTTGTTTTCCTCGGCGAGGCCAAACGACCTACCTCCATGAAGTTGAACGACCTACCTCCATGAAGTTGGAGTTGTGTCGGGCATGGCATAACTCTCTGACAAGGGAGCAAACATCACCTACACAGCCGGGACGATCCTTCGAGCAAGGCATCACCAGAAAACCACCAGGAAAAACTGCTGTGCATGAGAGATTGATGCGCACACGATTTCTCTAACGCTGTTTTTCGCTCAGGCACAGGAAGAAAGCAGAGATATTTCCCATAGCCAGATCACAACTCTGCAGAGTGATCAGACTGAGTGTAACGCTACCTCTCGACACAGGACCGTTTAAGGTGTGAGCACACGCAGAAATCAAGCTTTCTCCTCCCCTTGGCGTGGACCGGAGCCTCTACTCCTTCGCAGCCAACAGACGAAAGTCAGCCTCCCAAGTGTCTCAATTTCTCCTGTGAGCTCATCATCCGGATGCGTAACGACATGGGTAGTGCGTATGCCTTCGGCGTCGAGAGATAACGTTGTTGGTCGTGGACCTGTACTGTACATTCGCAATGTGATTACCTAAAACACGGACTTCGAACAGAATGTTTGCCTGTCTAGTACAACGACCTTGCTAGAGTCTCAAACCTTGCCATCGCGCCACCTCGATGGGAACAACAATAGACCCCCCCAACTTCTCCGTGGTGCTACTTTGAAGACTGTGATGTATTGGCCGCTTCATCATTGCGGCCATCGTCACCTTCAGTGGTGAGACGATGTTGGTAAACTCGTGGCTTCTGGGGAAAAGATGTATTATTGTTGAGACCTTGGACCAGGAGAACAGGTCAAAAGGTGGGGTGAGCAAGGGTGGGGAGCACCACAGCACCGCAGCACCGCAGCCACCACCCGTGTCGCTCGACCAACGCACAAAAGCAGAACACAATGATATCGGAACACCAAGACTCAACAGACAGGGGATACCGTACTTCACAACGTACCATGAATCCTCTGACTGATACACTATCCAAAAGAAACACACCCGGGGTAATGCACCATCCACGAAGAACATTCCCACAGAAGTTCCTTGCTGGTTTGATAATATGTGGCTACTCAACGATCTTCAACGCAGACAGTCCCGCAATTGTTGTTGTTGTTGTTGTTGTTGTTGTTGTTGTTGTTGTTGTTGTCTTCACATTAAAAACCGTTCCGATCTCCCTCTACCCAGTACCTTCGTATGTCCGTGCTGATACAACACTTGACCCGGTCGATTCCCGTGGTCGCAGGCTAACTTACCCTCAAAAGGTACACTCAGATAAAATGGCCCCGAGGGGTCCGCAAGTCAACAGAAATCAACGAGAGATATTCTGGAGTCCTCCACTCCCTCTGCGCGCTATGCGAGGTAACAACTGAGACTAGGGGTCACCATCACGGGCCGGAGAGAATGAGGTACACCCCCTTGGTTCAATCTTGGTACTTAACGACGCAAGCAGAAACAAGGCCATCTGGCACAGAAAAAAAGAGAACAAGAAAAAAGAGAACAAGAGAAAAAGAGAAGAACATAAAAGGAAACAGTAAGGAAAGAGAAAATGAAATAAAAAGAGCGAGGACAAAAAGGGACCAGGCCGAACATAACAAGAACTAAGAGACAGAAAAAGGCACACGGTGGAGAGACCACTAACGACAAGCAAACACGAAAACATGGCCACCAACCAGCGATACATTGTAATGGTACGTCATCACTAGTGGAGGGTTGGTGCAATGGTGCAGCGTTGGGGGGAGGGGGGGGGG